CTGTTTTTCAGAAAATACCCCTCAAATTCCAGTGACTACTCCACAGATCTCTCCTAACAATGTGAAACGTACTGGACCTCGATTGTTGTTGATTCCAGTACAGCAGGGTTCTCCTACACTTAGACCAGTCCCAAACACACAACTTCAGGGACAGCGGATGGTCTTACAACCTGTTAGGAGTCCAAGTGGAATGAACCTATTCAGGCACCCCAATGGGCAGATTGTCCAACTCCTACCTTTACATCAGATTCGAGGCTCTAATACCCAACCCAGCTTACAGCCTGTGGTGTTTCGGAACCCAGGTATTAAATTAGAGGTCTTTCTGATGGGTTTTATTGTTGAATCACTTGACCATGTGATGTGTTTGGTATACTAGAATTTTTCTTATTCAGTTTCTTAAGTGGGAATCATACCTTGAAAGACTTGATGAGATGAGCAGTGGTGATTTAAGTTCTTTCTTTTTCTTACCAGGATCTGTGGTGGGAATCCGACTACCAGCTCCTTCCAAATCTTCTGAGACTTCATCATCTTCTACTTCGTCCTCTGCCTTCTCTGTCATGAGTCCTGTAATTCAGGCTGTTGGGTCTTCTCCAACAGTAAATGTTATTACTCAGGCACCTTCATTGGTTTCCGGTGGATCTAGTTTTGTCTCTCAGGCTGGTACACTGACCCTGAGGATTTCTCCTCCTGAACCTCAAAACTTTGCAAGTAAAACAGCCTCTGATAGCAAAATAACAGCCAGCACTGGAGGGCAGCCTGTTGGAACTGCTAGTCTCATTCCTCTGCAGTCAGGTAGCTTTGCCTTGTTGCAGCTCCCAGGACAAAAGCCTGTTTCTAGCTCCATTCTTCAGCAGGTTGCTTCCCTTCAGGTAAAAAAGGAATCTCAGAATGCAGACCAGAAAGATGAAATAAACTCCATCAAAAGAGAGGAGGAAACTAAGAAAGCTCTAACATCAAATGAAGAAGCTGTAGACACCGAGGCTGATAGAATCAAGCAAAACTCAGGAATTATTGCCTCAGAAGATACCTTGAATGATTCATTGGAAGATGGGGGTGATGTTTTGGATGAAGAAACGCTTACAGAAGATGCCAGACCTTATGAACACTCTTTGAGCACTGGGTCTCACACAGATGAAGACAAAGATGGTGATGAAGAATCTGGGAACAGGAATCGGAACAGTCCAAAGGGAAAACAGACTGTTCCAAAGGTTAGGAATATTTCTGAAAAGGTCCAGCGTGTCAGTAAAGTACGGCCTCAAAAATGTGCTGAGGTGAAGATGGAACAGCAGCCAGGATCAGATAATCCAGAGGACCCAGATGAGTTTCTATTCATCCCTAAGGAAGAAAGTAACTTTGAACTACCGGGGAGCCAAGTTAAGGAACAGCAATCTAATTCACAGGCAGAGGCCAAGAAGGATTGTGAAGACTCTCTGGGGAAGGACAGTCTTGGAGAGAGATGGAAAAAACATTTGAAGGGCCCCTTAACTCAGAAGTACATTGGAATTTCACAAGAATATAAGAAAGAGGCAGACATGCAGTTGTTTACAGAAACAAAGCCATGTCAAGAAAATTCTGAACAAGACATCTCTGACTTACTTGGAAAAAGTGGAACTACTGAGAATGATGGAATGTTAAAAACTGAGGACAGTTCTTGGAGTAGCATTTCTAGTTCTGCAGCCTTCTCTATTATTCCTAGGAGAGCTACAAAAGGAAGAAGAGGGAGCAGACGTTTTCAGGATCACTTTCTGCTCCCAAGAGAACAGATCAAACCAAAGCAAGAGACGAGGGGTGGGAGAAGCAGTGCTGGCTTGACTGCTGTGGATTTGGAAGAGGAGGACGAGGAAGACGAGAATGAGAAAACCGATGATTCTGTTGATGAGATTGTGGATGTTGTTTCTGGCTACCAGAGTGAGGAGGTTGATGTAGAAAAGGTGGTGAGCCCATTTTTGTTGTGACTGAAACCTCATGGATTTAAATGATTAGAGAGAGTAGCTTTTCCTAGACTATCACTAAGACCTAATATATTAGTTTGGGTGCTTAAGTTTAGATCATTATTAAATGAGTAGTGTTTAAGGCAACACTATCTTGCTTGTTACTGTTATAAAGGTGGCTTGATCCTTTGGAGTATAGATGGTATAGAGTGCCTACCAAGTTGAATTTTAAAAAAAGATATCTTACATCTTTTAAATCCCTGTAGTTTCTGTCACATTGTCTGTGATGTGGTTGACACTTACCTTATACAGATAAAATAAGAAACAGTGAACGCGGGGGATCTTAGATATAGAGAAGAAGGAGCTTACCTACATTTAGAGGGAAATTTTTTTTCAAGAGAAAAACTGCAAAGTATCTGGTACTTTAATTGACTTATAAATAAGGATACAGCTCTAAAATTGGATAATTTATATATGCATTTGCCTTATACTTTTCCTATAGGCTAATCCTTTTCAAGGACATAAATTCAAAAATATGGGGTTTGCAAGATTCTTTTATAGATCTTACTCTACTTTTATAGTCTCCTTTTTCAGTCATTCTGGGTAAACATTATGTGAACAAACAAAAATGAAACAGCCTAATAAGTAAAACTGTAGCTCTCAGTGGAACTGACTTTGCAGAGCCTCTAGAATGCCGTAATCTTACAGGGACTCTTACTTGAATGTACTAATAATCTAACAGAAAAGTTTACACTGACTTCTTAAAAAAAAAAAACAACCACCACCACTCTGAATGATCTCTAAAATATAAACTCTGTATCATATTTACATGCATGTACTATGTCCAGATTTTCTTTACACTTATTACTAGACTTGTATTTGAATGATATGAGGAATTAACTACTTTGTCGTCTATTGAGATTATTGGATATTATTTACAAAGCCTGCAGTTGAAATCATGAAATAGATGAGTGTGAGGTGCAGGCCTATGATCCTGTCAGTGAGGAAGTAGAGGCAGGAGGATTGCCTGTTTGAGGCTCTCCTGAACTACATGGCACACCCTGTGTCATAAATCTGAACTAGGCACACACTCTTCAGTTCAAGTATTATAAATCAAACCTATATTAGTAACTTTAGATTCTGTTCATTTTTGTTTCATAGGGGTAATTATAATATACATTGTCTAAATTTAACATATATTTCTTAAATTATGCTTAAGTTGAAGTGGGCACTATAGTGATAGCTTGCATTTAGTGTCTATTAGCCTTATGGAGCCTTTAATTTGGAGGTGATTTTTCCAAAATTATAAATGTGAGAATTTTAATAAGGTGATTGGGATACCTTGTTTTGAATTATGCCTCTGAAGCGTAGTGCAAATATATATAAAGATAGCACTTTCTTAGTTTCTGGCATAGTGAGCACTACTTTTAAAGATGGACTTGAAAATATCTGCCTGCTTCGCATCATACATATAACTCTGTAAAAGAATTCAGTGAATTTCTGTGGTAGGTGCTCAGTTTTATTCATTTGCCTCTGTTCTGGAAATAGAAGGAACTACACTTGGGATTACTTTTGAAAACTGAAGTTCTTCAAAAACTCTCATTCTGTTGAGTTGTATCCCATTTCCATGTCTGCCTTACATTAATGTGTGTTGATTTATGGGCATTTGATCAGATATTAGTTATGAAGCCCCCTTAAAACAGGATATTCTGTGGGTTTGGGGGAATGAGGGGTTAGTGTTAGGAATTAAACCCAGGGCCTCACCATGTAAGATTTTATTTAGCTGGGCAGTGGTGGCACACACCTTTAATCCCAGCACTCAGGAGACAGAACCAGGCAGCTCTCTGTGAGTGCAAGGCCAGCCTGGTCTTCAGAGCAAGCGAGATCCAGGACAGGCACCAAAACTACACAGAGAAACCCTGTCTCGAAAAGCAAAAAAAAAAATTAAAGCCTTAATGCATCATACATGAATGCTATCCTCTAGAAATATCAAAGCATCAAATATAGCCTCCTAGAAACTCTGCCCAGCCTAAGGTTAATGATACCTGTTTAACATACATTAATGATACCTGTTTAACATACATCTATTACTTAACATAGTTGTTGATGTTAGCTCTAATCGTGTTATCTTTTTTACTTCATTTCTTTTTGTGATTAACAAGCTTAGGGTTGTTAGTACTCATGGTAGATAACTATTTGGAACTAGTTGGTTTAATGAGGGAGAATGCATTTGAAAAGTTGAGTTATGTGTGTCTCCCAATACATTATTTACTGTTCTAATAATATATTTCAGAATAACTATGTAGACTATATTGAGGATGATGAGCAGGTGGATGTTGAGACTATAGAAGAGCTCTCAGAGGAAATTAACGTTGCCTACAAGAAGACCACAGTAACTCACACACAGTCCTTCAAACAGCCGTAAGTCATATTTACCTTTGGATTATTGTTTGGAACCAGAAACAAAACTAAACACTTCATTTAAAACCTCAGTCCACAAACCCACTTCCATTATTCCTTTAGAGTTTGTTGGTTTATTTTTTGTCTCTCTTTTCTCCTGGGTAGTTTAGATGAGACATTGAAATAAGGAAGTCATTTACTTGCGTTGGCCTTTGCCAGCAGGTAGCATATAAATGTGGGTAACATACTGTTAGAGGCTGGTACACTTGTGTTAAAATACTAGTTTTGACTGTAGTACCTGGGAGACAGAGGTAGAGACAGGCAATCTCTTTAGTTTGAGGTTAGACTGGTCTGTATAGAGAGTTCTAGATCAACCAGAGCTATACAGTGAGACCCTGTTTAAAATAATAAGTAAAAAAAAAAATGAAATACTAGTTTTGATAGTATATAGGTACCTAACCTGGACAAGTTTATAATTTCTTTGAACCAATATGCCCTCCATTTAGAGTTTTCATAATGCTAGTATGAGTTGGCTACTCAGCAAAAGTTAGTTCTTTTATATTTTACTAATAAAGCATTAAAATTATAAATTTAGTTACTGTACTAGCTGAACAAGTGAAATACAGGTATGAAATTCTTCCTACCTATTCCACTGATAAAAGGCACAGGATCTTGCTGCGGTGTGTTATCTATTCTTGTGTTAGGAAGCTCTGTAGGAATTGGGGATTGGCATGTAAGAGGACAGGAAGGAAGATGCAGCTTCTCTTGTCTTGTTTCCTAAGGCAGTCTCCTAAGTGACTGTCTTCATTCCAGAGCTGTTTACAGGTTCCTTCAGTTACCTGTTGATTAAAATGAAAGAGTTTAAATCCCTTAAAACTTAATTATATTTACTGAGTTCAATAGTATTTCAGACACCTAGATAGGAAAGGTCTACATTTTAAACACATTACTAAAAACAAAAAAAAATAATGTAATCTTAAAAATAACTATTTTTTTAACCATTTTCAACAGTGACAGGAATAAAAGCTTTCTGTGATTAATATAGCCCTATAGGCTATAAATATTTAGAAAGAAATCACTGACAGTGCATATACTATTGTTACACTGTGATTCATGAAGTGAATTTTGATGTGCATGAAAATTCTTACATCTCAAAATGGGTTTGGGCTGCCGTAGTGGCTCATACCTATACTAGAAAGAGGATCATTGCTAATTCCAGGCCAGCAGGATACTTTTGAAATGATTGCAACCATATATGTATTTCTATAATATAGTAACAAGCTATGTAAGGCTTGAAGAAAATTACATTGAGAGACATTGAAGAATTCAGTAAGTAGCTATGCCATGTTATTAGGTTGGAATAATAAAGAGCCAAGAATAACCACTATATAAAGAACACAAACTATAAAAGAACAGAAATTAAATTTAAAGACAGAAACAGATCTCTGAGTTTGAGGCCAGCTTGATCCACATAAGTTCAGAACAGTCAGGAGTTGACAATGAGATCCTGCCAATAAATAAACAAACAAACAAATAAGTGAATGAAAAACAGTAATTCATAATTTTAGTGACTATTTGGACACTAGAGATAAAATGAACTGTTGAATAAATTGTTGCCATCTAGTATACCTAGGAGAAAAGAAATGGTTGTAATTTAGGAAGTTTGAAGTGATACAGTTTCATAACAGGTGTGAAAGAGATTGATGTATTGGATTTCAGTAAAATATTAAAATTACTTTCTTTATCTAGGTGTCATAGCCAAATCTCTGCAGATGAAAAAGCTTCTGAAAAGAGTCGAAAGGTATTTCAAATGTATTTAATATAATTTTTTAATAAAATCAGTAACATTTGTTTTATGATTGAAACATAAGATCTATTAGTTGATTTTTTTTTTTTAAAGGACTATTTTAATTTATTAAAATTAACTTTCCCATCTTTACAGAATTATGCTACCTGCTCCTCTCCTTTCTTAATTCTACTCCTCTCAGAGGATAGAATAAATTTGGAGGATGTTAAATAAAAAAATGGATATAGTTTATGAAAGTAGATCTGTTTATCTGAAAGCAAAATACCCATACATATAAAGGAAAATAATTTAATAATTTTTAAAATTAAGACATTTATAACCCAAGAGTAAAATATGTAAGATTTAATATCAAAATCCATCTTCTTCCACCCCAGGCAGGGCTTCTCTGTGTATCTCTAGCTGTCCTGGAACTTACTTTGTAGACCCTGGCCTTGAACTCATAGAGATCTGCCTCCTCTACCTCCTGAGTGCTGGGATTAAAAGAGTGTGCCACCATGCCTGGTTTAATATCAATTCTTTAAAAATGTGCAAAAAGGAAGAATAGCAAGAAACAGACATTGATAACTATTTTATAAAGCAATGTTATATTCATGTTGCTCAAGGATCATTAGAAAAGCTAGAGTTAGAAACTGTATTTAGATAGAATGCTGAGATGCACAAGAGTAATTGTGAACAAAATCCTTTTATGCATAGGAAGAAATCAGTTGAGATCATTGGCAACAGCACAAATAAGCTTATATTATTACTTAAGAATTGAAAGAAGCCACACAAACATGTAACATATTGTCATTCCTGCTAGAGGTGAAGGGCATATTTCCAATTTATTGTAAGCTTGACATGTGTTTACAGCTCTATATATTGTCAGTAACTTCTTTTTTAAAAAATACATTTTAGGGCTGGAGAGTTGGCTCAGTGGTATGTACTGTTTTTCCAGAGGACCCAAGTTTGGGTCCCAGCACCCTTGTCAGGCTTACAACCAGTTGTAGCTTGAGCTCAGTGGGGATCTGATGATTCTGGCCTCTGCTGGCACCTGTACTCAGGTTCACAAGCCCACACAAAGACACAAACACATGTGTGCATAATTAAAAAAATAAATCTTAAAGAAAAAAATAAATTTAAGCCAGGCAGTGGTGGTGCATGCCTCTAATTCCAGTACTCAGGAGGCAAAGGCAAGCGGATTTCTGACTTCAAGGTCAGCCTGGTCTACAGAGCGAGTCCCAGGACAGCCAGAGCTACACAGAAAAACCGTGTCTCGAAAAACCAAAAAATAAATAGATAAATAAATTAATGAGTAAATTTAAAACTGAAGTAAAATAAATAAGACAAATGAGACTTTAAGGTATGCTGAGAGTCAAGAAAGACCTCTCTGAAAAAATACACAGTGGTAGCATTGATTGGGAGGGACAGGGATAAGGAGTCCAAGTCAGACCAAAGCCTAAGCAGTTTAGGCAAGGAAGTCTCACAGTTAGAAATGGCTAAAGGAGCTGGTGAGATGGCTCAGCCCCAAGCCTGATGACCTGAATTTAGCCATAGGATCTACGTGTTGGAAGGAGAGAACTGACTCCTGAAAGTTGTCTTCTGATTTCTACATGTGCAGTATGTCTTATGCTTGCCCTCACTACTACAAATAAGTGTAATTTTGTTTTCTTTTTTAAAGAAAATACTAGAGAGAAAGTTTATTTAGAAGAGAATGGAAGCAGCCAGGCAGTAGTGGTGCACACCTTTAATCTCAGCACTCAGGAGGCAGAGGCAGGCTGATCTTTGTGAGTTAAAGGCCAGCCTGGTCTACAGAGTGAGTTCCAGGACAGCCAGGGCTACACAGAGAACCCTGTCGTGGGGGGGGGAGGGGGGGAGAGAAGAGAGTGGCAGTTGATCCTTTCCCAAATTGTGAAAGTCCTTTTGTGTATGGGGGTGGGGGTGGAGGAGGTTTGTGCTTGCCACATGTGGAGGCCAGACGTGGATGTTGTCTTCTGTGTCTCCACCTTATTTTTTGAGATAAGGTCTCATTAAACCTGGAATTCACTGTTGGAGCTAGGCTGGCTGACTGACTTTTAACACCCACCCCCCACCCCACGCTGCCTCCAATCTGCCTGTCTCCACTTGTCCAATGCTGGGGCTACAAAGGCCCACTCTCTTGCCCAGTTTTTATATTGATGCTGAAGGTCTCAGCTCGGGTCCTCAGGCCTACATAGCAAGCACTCTGCCCACTGAGCCGTTTCTTTAATCTCCCTAAAGTTGTTTTGTTTTGTTTTGCTGGGCAGTGGTGGTGCATGCCTTTTATCTATCCCAGCACTTGGGAGACCGAGGCAGGCTGATGTCTGTGAGTTTGAGACACCTGGTCTACAAAGTGAGTTCCAGGACAGCCAAGGCTGTTACACAGAGAAACCCTGACAAGGGGGAAAAAGATATATAATTTCTTTTCTCTCAATCAAGATTGTGATTTTTTTGTTATGTTCTGAAAACTAATTTTAATGATGATAAATTATATAAATAAGCTTTTCTAAACCTTTCCTTCCTAGCCTCCGGATGCTTCCTTCTCATTTGAGAATCACCAAAACTTGAGCTGGGAAGTAATATGATTGTGTTAATATATATTAGAATTCATACTATTGATGTTGTTGAAATGAGATTTGGAGGAAAGATAGATTGGTAAGATGAGCAGTTGAGAGGCCATTATAACAATCCAGAAAGAAAGTGTATCTGAGATAGAACAGTATCATTTGGGATGGAGGAAGAGGGCAAGTACATGTGAAAGATGCTGAGGAAACAATCTTTTTGGACAGCTTCCATTAATTTCCCCAAAATTGAAAGATGATTGCTGGAGTGATAAACCACAGAAAGAAACAGAAGCCTTTGCATATTACCGCCGGACACATACTGCCAATGAGCGGCGGCGGCGTGGTGAAATGAGGGATCTCTTTGAAAAATTGAAGATTACATTGGGTTTACTTCATTCTTCCAAAGTTTCCAAAAGTCTCATTCTTACTCGGGTAAGTATTCTGTAGATATATAAACATAAGTTCATATGTAAGCATAAGCTCAACTAAGAGACTCTTGCAGATGAGAAAGGAGATCCATTGTCATGAGGGAGATGGAAACAGAGTTACTTGTCTTAACAATTCAGTGAAGTTAGTGGTTAGTCATGGCGCCTCATACCTGGTATGCCAGCACTTGAGAGGCTGAACAGGAAGATTGCCATGAGTTCAAGGTCAGCCTGAGCTACAGAGTGAGGCTGTGTCAAAAACAGCACTAGTAAATTAGCAATAACTACTTTATGGGGGAAAAATTATGTTAAGTCAGAATAACTTTACATTGAATACTAATTTCTTTTGTGTTTGAAGCCTGGAAAGCAGAGAAGATTTGTGTGTGGGTGTGTGGTGTGTAAGAACATGAGTCTATGGGTATGTGTTCCCATGAGCATGCATGCAGAGATGGGAGCAAGATGTTGGGTGTCTTCCTTTTTTCCTTTTTTTTTTATTACTTTGAGACAGGGTCTGTCATAGAACTGTCAGCTTGCCTTTATGGCTAGGCTGGGTGGCCATTGAGCTTTTGGGATCTGCCTGTCTGCTCATCTCGATGCTAGAGTTACAGGTTTGTGTAGCCATGCTTAGCTTTATGTGAGTGCTGAGGATTCAGACTCAGGTCCTCATACTTGTAAGGTAAGTGCTGCTGTTGTTACCCAGTGAGCCATCTCCCTAGCCCCAGATGTTTGAAGTTCTTCAAGTCAGGAGCTAAGGGCTGAGAGGGATAGCTCAGTCAACAAAGTGCTTACCTTGCGAACATGAAGGCCTGAGTTCCTTAACTCCAGAATCTACAGTACAAAAGAAAAAAACTGGGTGGGGCTGGAAAGATGGCTCAGTGGTTAAAGGCACTTGCTGTTCTACTAGAGGACCCCAGTTTAATTCTCAGCATCCTTGTTGAGCATCTCTCAACCACCTGTAGCTCAAAGGGAATCGAACATACTCTGTCCTCTTACAGCACACCCACACATGTGACAGATACACATGGACAAAAAAAATAGGAAAAAAAAAA